TTATTATCAGATTCTCCCCAAAAAGCGTGGGCTTCTCCTTCAAAGGAATGTTGGCTCGGTAAAACTTACAGAAAGTATTACATTATTTTATGTTCTGTGTATATACATGTAAATATATTTTTTTGTTCCCAGGTTGCAAGTTGCTGCGTTACATTACAATGAAAATGCAGACAGGTCTCAGGCTACAACCATAGAGGGTGTGCTTAGGTATGCCATTTTATACCCAAAGTACAAAAAAGGAGACTACACAGTGAGAGCCTTGAAGACCAAACCTACCTCATGTATGTCACATTTACACAATGAGTTCAATGCGTATAAGTCAGTGAAAACAAATGTTTATTTCTTTTTTTACAGGCTATATTGACAAGCTGATGGCTCTTCTATTTGACAATGTGGTGGGGGATCCTCTCCTGTATCAGGAGCACTCTGAAAAGGTCCCTGTGCCTGAACCACTCTGTGCACAGTATGAGAAGCCAGACAAACAGGAAGCTGTGAGCAGGCACAGGTCCAGATTCTTCAATAAGACATAAGGTGACCAATGCACCTGTACTGCAATCAGATTTTAAGAAAGTTGTGACTTGGATCATGTTGTATGGCAAAGAGATGATGTAATTGTATGTCATGTTAAAAAATAATAACATATATATATATATATATATATATATTCTTTGTTGGTTGTCCCAGTGATCGGAAAGAAATGCAGAACTGGGCAAGAGAAGGTGAACTGAGAAAATGACGAGGTGATGAGGTGTTGTAAACCATTTACATGATCCATCTCTACTGATCGCCATCAAAGTCCTCAGGTGATGACGAGGCTGTGGACATCTGTGGGAAATTACATTCAGAATGTCCACACTAAAGGAAAGAGACTTGTACACTCAATGTCTTCACAGGCCTTTGGTTGGGGATGCGAGAGTGTGGCCAAAATCAAGTGTGTAAGTACAAGTTCTTATCCCTATATCTAATTTATATTGATATATTTACACTTGCCATATCAATGTATTATTCTTTGTAATTCTGTATAATTCCATGTAGGCACAGCAGCATGTGAGAGACTCCTTAGATTTTTTTTAACACCAGTTTTTGAAAGCTGTAACTAAAATAAGACCACGATACCACACTTTGCATATTGAGGCATTCTGCAGCCTTATTCCAAGTAATGCTGGCCAGGTATAATATTGACTTGAGTTATTTCATAGCTTTGAAATGTTCATAGTAGAATACATACTTTATATTAATGATTTTGTTGTTCAATTACAGGGTGCAGGTTGGTGTCTTGAATTATGATTAAAAAAGGCTAATCTAAAACTCAAGCGTGGAGGCTGCACTGTGAGAGCCAAGACCAACCCTACTTCATATATTCAAATTAGCATGACGCTTATAAGTATTATGAGGAGAATTTTTTTCCTTTTATTTTGACTACATTGACAAGCTGAACTATTTTGTCTATTTTGAAGGACCAGACAAATAGGTGGCATGGACAATGGACAGTCCATGTTTTTTTTGTATGTAATCAAGCTCTACTTTATGCTTCCTTTGCAAATGATTTATCCATTTTACATAAAGGACTTTTATTCTGTTATAGGTATTTGTTAATAAAATACTTTGTTTGTTTATGATAACTTGCACCTCAAAGTTGTCACTGTAATAACTAAATTCCCTTACTGCTGACACTGCAACTACAAAAACACTTATTGTTAGGGGTGCAGCACATCTTCCAAAAGCTGCCTGCTTAGATATTGAGTGGAGCATGCAATCATGATTTCAAATTGATACCAAGAAAGGTGTTATAATGGACCAATAACTAACTACTGCAATTCTTTTTTGATATTTGTATTTGGAGGATATTTATTAAAATAACATGTAAAACTATAATAAAACAATACATTATGCAACTACACAAATTGCAGTGGTGGGAGGAATCCAGTGTATTCTCCATGTTCTGGGAATTCACATCTTATCCTGCTCACAGCACAGGAGGGGATGACCACACGGATATGCTGCCCTAAGTAACCCCAGCACCACCGGACAAAATTCCTGTATGCCAGAAATCTGTAACAGCTGAAAGAAAGATAAAACGTGGATTTTGTTTTTTAGTAAGGAGCTAACACATAATCATACTAAACTAACCTGTTGAGCATGGTCTCAGGCATGTCTCCAAACAGCTGCATGTAAGTAGCATGTACTGCTTGGAGCACATACGGATTTAGAGCCACTGGCTCAAATCCAGGGTGCTGGGTTATGCAGGTGGCATGACCCACCTGCTGACATCTGTGCATAACCTATGACAGACCAAAATTGAATTAATAAGTAAGGGCCGAGACTAGTGTAGTCAAGATGTTAGAGCGTGTGTCAAATTACTGTTTCTTTTGTGCACATTACTTGGGGTATAATTTCTATTCAAAATACCTTTGGGGTTTCCATGCAGCACACGTTTTCCCTTGGGGACAGGGATGTGCAGTGGCCGCAGGTGCACCTATTGTGGCAGAGTTTATAATATAACTATATGGTCCCACAACATATAGTTTATCTTGGTCTGGGTTCATAAATATAATGTACAGACAAAACTGTCTAGCAAAGCAACGCAACATAAGGGGTTACTGTATGGGAATGTGTTAGGCTACATAAATTCCCACTCTTCTCAAAAGGTTCAATTCAGACAGGTTAGCATTTCGTGGTCCGGATCCCTACATGATTGCTCTTCAAGACCTGTAACAAGCAGTGGGTATTTTTTTTCCCCTCTCAAATCTATATATACCATTCAGAAACAGGCCCCATTCTGTGGCGGTCTGCTGCCTCCGCTGCCTCTGCAGCATCGGCTCCCCTGGTGGCGCTAGCTAGCTCGCGCGCTAGCGGCTCAAATTGATAGGGCTGAGGGCCACTGTCTGCCTCCTCTCTCTCAACCTCCGGTGAGGACGGTGGAGAGAAGTCCTCCACCTCCCAAGACCGCACAGAAGCTGTGGAGCTGGCGTCGCTGTGTTCACTCTCCATCATTGACACGGCCAATGCTGATGTCAAGTGTCAATCACAGCTTAGACCCGCCCAACATTCACCCCCCCGCCTGTCCCCTTCAGCCCTCCAGGCTACGCCCATTTGGAGGGAGATTTTGAAAAGGAAGTGTGAGTGACGTAGGCCGTGAGGAGCGGGGGTGAGAACCACTTTAACAAATAGATCCGTTTGATGATATATCTCTAAAAAAGAAATTGATTACATAAAGGGCAAACCAAGAATCCAAATCCTGCATCCGTTTATCTGACATGAAAGGTGTGCAGAATGACTAAGAGAAAAGTCTACATCATTTCAATTTTTACAAGGATCATGCATTTGTTGTGTTAGCACAGAAGCAGTTCCTGTCATTGTGACGTCAACAATGGCAAGTTTCCGTTCGTTTGTATTTGTTGGGCTTCTGTGAACATTCAAACACACTGTTGCACGTTTTCCGTTTTCATCAGTCGCAAAATAAAAAGACTAAACTTCACACAGATGGAGCGTTCCGAGTGTAGGCGACTCTAGTGGCGGCAACCTGGTTGGTTGCCATGGTGAAGCAAAACGTGGTGTTGCCCGTGTGTGCATGTGTCTGCGGTCAGGGCTGGGGCTCCTACCATGAATACTATCACATTTTCTCCAGACTCCACCTCTCACTGATCACACGGCTGCCTTCAAGGGCTTCATCTCACATCAAAGGCACTGGTGGGATTTTGCATTCCTGTCAGAGCATTACAACCTCTAGAGCTTCCCCGGGATGTAAAACTCAACCCTGTGCCTTTCCTTTGCTTCGTGTAATGATTCTGCAAAGCTGGAGCAGGGTTTAGAGGCTCCACGCTATAGCAACAGTGGCGAGCGAGAAGCAAACTCACTGTGCTTTTTGTACGCTAAACACTGCTTTCCATCATCCTCTTTGCCGTACATACAACTCCTACAGGCGAGAGGAGGGAGCTGAAGAACGACCCAAGATAACACCACCAGCGCATCAATGACTCTCCCTGCTCGGCACAAAATATTATTTACAGCTCAGTGCAAGAAGAAATTACAGCTGCAATCCTCTCCTGAAAGAAAAGCAGCTTACCTGGCAACGTTTGGCAAGGGGAAAGGAGGAGGGTCAGCCACCATAATTATTATATTGCCTCTTCTAATTCACTGCCGTATCTATACAGCTCACACAGCCAAAAGGGAAATCGTTTCACACAGGAGACAACAGGTCAGTGGTGCATAGAACAAATAAAACGGCTTCATGACACATTTTGAAATAGCTTTGAGGATAGATATGCCAACAACAATTCCCATCATAGTTATAATAATACATTATCAGATTGTTACAGATAGATTTTTCAATTTGAAAATGCCATTTTGTAAATTACTGTTGGAAACAAAGCCAATTAAAATAATGTACAAACTCTACCACAGGGAATTAAAGAAAATTGGAACAGAAGTAAAATAGAACGCAATCAGCCAGACATTAAGTCTCTAATGTAAAGTGAACAGGAAAAACAAGGGTCTTCTAATCTGGTGATAGTCTTTGCTCCTCATCATCATGGAGCAGCCTATATTATTAGCTTCCTGGGTCCCCCACGAGAGAGCTCTATGCCCCCAGAGACAGTGGTCCTGAAATTGAGCTTTAGTTTCAAGGTCTTTTCCACTCAACAGGCACCAACTTATTTGACAGGCACACTCCATCACAGTGATCTTGATGTCGGGCATTTAAAACAACATTATTACAGTCACCCTGATGTATGTGACCTTAAAAAGTACAGGCCTTTGAGTTTAACTCGTTATTTGTTCCGTTAATACGCCAAATGTTGAAAAGAACAGCGTGCACTGAAGCATGGGCTGCCAGGCACAGGAGTAGATCCTGCTCTCACTCAACAGCGAACATGAGTGAGGGCGTGATATGCGCTATAGTGGTGGATCAGAGCACATTATGGAAGGAGGATCAAAGCAGAGGAGATGAAGCTTACGGCTGTATCTGAGTATGTGTATGCGTGTAGCGTGTAGGAACATACCAGACGAGTCAGCCTTCTCCGGAGCATCTTCTCCTGTATTCTTCAGATCACTGTCACAGATGAACTCTTCTTCCGTGTCACAGAGCCGAGCCTCTGCTCCAGCCCGCCTGCCTCAGAACAACTTTACATGTATGTCACACGCAACACTAGTAGCTCCTTGGCTATCTGTTTTCTACTCTAGCGTTTGTTCTAGCTACATCAAGAGCCGCGGCGCTACATCGTTTCCATTTGTCTTGATTTGGGTTCCTTCGCACCATTCGCATTCTCTTCCTCTGAGGTTTTCCGCGTTGCGGTGGACTCACTCACTAGTAGCTCCAGGAGGAGACCGTCCTGACATTAGTGTGCGCCCTGTTGCTGAGGCTCGCAGCACACGGAGCATGTGTCGTGCTGAGACGTGCCCGGGTGGACACGGGTCTCCTGTGGACTTTACTTGAGTCCTGAGTCCTGAGTCCTGAGTCCTGAGTCCACACGGCGCTCGGCTCTCCTCCCTGTCAAAGCTTCACTACAGACTTCCCACGCTCACAGCTCTCAGCTCTCACAGGCTCCACCCGGCGAAGGAAGGTGCGGCGACTCCAGCTACTGTATTCTGGGTAATGTGGTCGAAGTTTGAACTACAGCTTCTTGGCATAAGCCTATAGTTTAACCTTTTATTGCAATATGCCGTCTGTAAAGACGCCTAAATTCAACATCTCTGACATTTTTTGAGGAGCTAGCATGCGACAACAGCGTGTCACGAGCATTTCCAAAGGGTTGCAAAGACAAAAGGCCTGTGTAAAATGCTCCACAAATGCAAATGAGGAGTAGACATTAACAATGCACTCTCGACCCGGGCAGAATAATATAATGCATCCATGGGCAGGCGTAAATAAACTTGTGCTCAGTGATGCACAAATTGAATCCACTATCATCTAAAATGTTCTACTGGGTTAGAGGGAACGACAGAACTGCACTCAACAAGCATGAACTGAAGCATCAGGCAGACTCCTGTCGGTCAACGATTTTACTAGGCTCAGGCTGCAAGACATTTGCATGAGGGGTTTTCCCTTACCCGTCAGCTTCCAACCTGTTGGCAATTGCAATAAAAAAATAAATGCAAATAAAGGTTAAACTAAATCGACAGCCGGATTAGCCTTATGCTGCCCTATGTCTCCATCGCGTGTTCATGTCCAGTATTACCTCCCTATTGGCCCAATTATCCTATTTGACCATTACATTGGTAGAAGAGCGGCTATTCAAGGATCTCAGCTTCCTGTCTCATGCAACATTTTGAGGATCGTTTTTGTTATTCCGATTATGTATTATTTAATTTAGAATACAATAGTTTACAGATGGCATCACACACAATCAGCGGATGAGAAGAAAATATATATGGGACGCAATTTAATTTTTAACACCCTCCAAGGCTGTTTCTCAAGGCATCTTGCCACTATGTGAATTACTGCATGGATGGGGCAATCCAACTGATAATGAATGCGGGATATGCGGGGTGTATCTTTTATTTTGGTGAGTAGTGGCTTACAATGTATGTATGGCATACATACATTGTAAGGGGATTACAATGACTGTATGTCTCTAACATTCCTCTTTAAGTCTTACTTAAGTAGCTAGACACGTTTTGCCTTCTCTCCTCATCTTGGTTGCATTGTTAGGTGTAAAGATATCCTTCAAATTCCAATTAAATGGCCTCCAAAGGTGCATATTTTCTCAGCGTTGAACCATGACTGAGTGGATGGGCCTTGAAGTCCATCCATCCATCCATCCATTTTTTTTCCCTTTATCCATTTCTGGGTCGGTGGGGTGGCAGTCAGAGCTGCACCCAGTTCACAGAGCACCAGCCCCTCACTGATCCTCCTGCAGGTGGTGAGTCCACAGGAGCTGAGATCTTTCAGTGGGGGCTTCAGGCAAAGTGGGGTTAAGTGTCTTGCCCAAGGTTGTCAAACAATTTTCAATAAAACAATTATAGATATTGGCCTTGAAGTCAATATCTATAATTGTTTTATTGAAAAAACCAGGAATACAGTTCCTTGCGAAAGTATTCGGCCCCCTTGAACCTTTCAACATTTCGCCACATTTCAGGCTTCAAACATAAAGATATACAATTTTAATTTTTGTCATGAATCAACAACAAGTGGGACACAATCGTGAAGTGGAACGAAATGTATTGGATAATTTAAACTTTTTTAACAAATAAAATCAGAGATGCATCCAAGAGGCCCATGATCACTCTGGATGAACTGCAGATAAAAACAGCTGAGGTGGGAGAGTCTGTCCACAGGACAACAATCAGTCGTGCACTGCACAAATCTGGCCTTTATGAAAGAGTGGCAAGAAGAAAGCCATTTCTCAAAGTTATCCATAAAAAGTCTTGTTTAAAGTTTGCCACAAGCCACCTGGGAGACACACCAAACATGGAAGAGGGTGCTCTGGTCAGATGAAACCAAAATCAAACTTTTTGGCCACAATGCTGTTTTTAAACTGCCATTGACCTGACTGGAAGACTGTATATGGACACCTTGTTAGTCTGAATGTATGGGGAAAATGTTTATTCTATGTCTTTTTCTTTGTATGTGTCCCTGTGCTGTGAACCAAATTGCCCCATCGGGGACATGAAATAAAGTGAAGTGAAGTGAAGTGAAGTGCAAAACGATATGTTTGGCGCAAAAGCAACACAGCTCATCACCCTGAACACACCATCCCCACTGTCAAATATGGTGGTGGCAGCATCATGCTTTGGGCCTGCTTTTCTTCAGCAGGGACAGGGAAGATGGCTAAAATTGATGGGAAGATGGACGGAGCCAAATACAGGACCATTCTGGAAGAAAACCTGTTGGAGTCTGCAAAAGACCTGAGACTGGGACGGAGATTTATCTTCCAACAGGACAATGATCCAAAACATAAAGCCAAATCTACAATGGAATGATTCACAAATAGACGTATCCAGGTGTTAGAATGGCCAAGTCAAAGTCCAGACCTGAATCCAATCGAGAATCTGTGGAAAGAGCTGAAGACTGCTATTCACAAACGCTCTCCATCCAACCTCACTGAGCTCGAGTTGTTTTGCAAGGAAGAATGGGAAAGAATTCCAGTCTCTCGATGTGCAAAACTGATAGAGATATACCCCAAGCAACTTGCAGCTGTAATTGCAGCAAAAGGTGGCGCTACAAAGTATTAGCGCAAGGGGGCCGAATAATATTGCACGCCCCACTTTTCAGTTTTTTATTTGTTAAAAAAGTTTAAATTATCCAATAAATTTCGTTCCACTTCACGATTGTGTCCCACTTGTTGTTGATTCTTGACAAAACATTTAATTTTTATATCTTTATGTTTGAAACCTGAAATGTGGCGAAATGTTGAAAGGTTTAATACTTTCGCAAGGCGCTGTACTTTTATGGTTTAGTATAAAATAGAATACTCTGCGACTGGGCCTCACTAAAGGAATGTTCATACTGCAGCCTGAGACCAAAAGACATGTCAACACGGTACTCAAGTCTGGAAAGTTTCTTGGACCCGTGTTGGATTTTCACCTATGGACAGGAGATAGTCTAAAAATGTCATCTTCAGTCACTACTTGACCACACAGGCTCAGAGGAAATCACATTATAATGGACTATGGCAACTTTGTAAAGAAAAGAAAAACCTGTGCAACAGCTCAAACTTTGGTTCACTTGCCAACACTCAGCTCCATGGCTTGTTGTGCTTCAATAATTGTTGCTTGTTTGAAATGGCTGTAGCTGTATATAATCTTCTTCAACTGACCCACATGTAAGCAACAGACAATAATCGTCCTGGGTATGATGCTCATTATGAAAGAAAACTGCTGTTCTGGAATTTTGGTAAAAACCCTAGGTTGTTAGTCCATCCATCCATCCATCCATTTTCTTCCGTTTCATCCATTGCCGGGTCGCGGGGGAAGCAGTCTAAGCAGAGACACCCAGACTTCCCTATCCACACACACTTTCTCCAGCTCGTCCGGGGGGACTCCAAGGCGTTCCAAGGCCAGCTGAGAGACATAGACCCTCCAGCGTGTCCTGGGTCGTCCCCAGGGTCTCCTCCTGGTGGGACGTGCCCAGTACATCTCCAGGAGGCATCCGGAACAGATGCCCGAGCCACCTCAACTGGTTCCTCTCGACGTGGAGAAGCAGCGGCTCTACTCCAAGCTCCTCCTGTGTGACTGAGCTCCTCACCCTATCTCTAAGGGATCGCCCAGCCACTCTGTGGAGGAAGCTCATTTCGACCGCTTGTATCCGCGATCTCGTCCTTTTGATCATTACCCAAAGCTCATGACCAAAGGTGAGGGAGGGAACGAAGATTGACCGGTAAATAGAGAGCTTTGCCTTTCGGCTCAGCTCCTTCTTCACCAGGGTATGATATGGTATGGTTTTTATTTTTACAGGGACAGTGTACAATAAATACTATCCAAAGGGAAAAATGCATTACACCAGGTTGTAGCAATTCTAATTTACACCTGTAGTCCCTGAGCGGGTTGTTGTGGTCTCATGAGCTAGATTCTGAGATTCTTGAACTCCTCCACTTGAGGAAGGACCACTCCACCCACCTGGAGAAAGCAAAGCACCTTGAGCACCATGGCCTCAGATTTGGAGGTGCTGATTCCCATCCCAGCCGCTTCACACTCGGCTGCAAACTGTCCTAGTGCATGCTGCAGGTCCTGGTTCGTTGGAGCCAACAGGACAACATCATCCACAAACAGCAGAGATGAAATCCTTTGGTCTCCGAACCGGACCGGACATTCTGTCCATGAACTGGTGACAAAGGGCAGCCTTGGCAGAGGACAACATTCACAATGCAAGAACAGGTCTGACATACTGACAGCAATGCGAAGGCAGCTCTGACTCTGGTCATTTAGGGCTCGGACGGCCCTCAGCAGAAGACCCTGGACCCATGTACTCCTAGAGTACCTCCCAAAAGGACACCCCGCGGAATATGGTTGAAAGCCTTCTCCAAATCCACAAAGCACATGTGGACTGGTTGGGCGAACTCCCATGATCCTTCGGGTATCCGATGGAGCA